AGTTTATTTAGTAGCAAAACTAAGGTTAACTTAGTAGAAAATAAAGTTATAAAGTATTTTAAAATAATTGAGCTGGAAAAAATTTATGTATGAGTGATAGACAGAAAAAAGTATAGAATATTTAGTCCCAAGCCAAAAAGATAATTTGGATTTATTTTATATTGTTAATATAGAATTTTGTATTTGCACATGTTTTGTTGAATTATCTGGCACTCCTTGCAAACATCAAGGTGTGGTGGCTACAAAACACTATATTGGTTCTTTAAATTTTTTCTATCTTTAATGTTTAATGATCATGCTTGCTTTGTATATATTGTATGTGGTAAGTAATTATAATTTGAATTTAATTTTTTTTTTAAATATTTTATTTTTAATTTATTTAATTATAATCTAGGAGTTATAGCAGATAATTTTTTCTATGCATCATTGCATACTCACACAAACAGTAAGGGCACTGACATTTATTACGTAATATCCATTTACTATAAGGGCTACCCCCCTCCCCCCCATATAAAATCTATATTATTGGCCAATTTAGAAATCATATAATTTCTTTGTGTAACGTATGATATTGATATAGTACATGCTCAACCCCACCCCCTAAAATATTACGTAATAAATATCAGAGCCCTAATCAGCATAACCTGGATATAAATAAAGGCACTACTACAAAAATTTTAATAGTAAATATAGAAATAAATCAAATTATAAATAACACAAATATGAACCAAGTTTTAACAACTAAAATGTAAATATATTTTATTTTGCTTTATACAATCATTATTATATTAATTAAACTTTCTATTTATTTTAATACTTAATAAAGAAATAATTCAGAATTCTTTGAAACATTTCTCAATACAATTAAGAATAATTATGAAACATGTAGTCCTCAACTTCAGGCTGCTCTTGAAAAGCTGGCTGAAAGATACAATGTAGCCAAGACTAAGTTTATTCCAGCACTTACATCTTTTCTTTATAGTATAAATCATGATAAAGATCCTCTTGTGTGTATTAAGAGTGGTGCCAAGACCCGTGTTCAGGTTGAATCTATAAAGTACAGAAAAGCAGAAACAGGCGCAAAAAAATCTAATAATAAAAAAAATCATGATTCTCATATTATACCTGCAAGAAAAGTCTAGGCAGTTAGTAAAAAAAAACATAATTTGAGTCAAAATATTTACAAGAATAACCCAAATTAGTAATTCTTGTATTATTATTTTTTAAATATAATAGTTATAAAAGTGTTTAATTAAATCTTTCATAATTTTTTTTTTCTAGCAAAATTAAGTAGAGTGAATATTAAGCATGGTCAATTTTAGCTTTAGATTAATACAACATATATGAATAGTAATGTATTTAGTTAAACTTTTAAATTTTTTTAGTTTACATATTAAATAAGCTTTTATTTAGTATACAAATATATTTACAAAATTTACAAATCACTTGCAATTAGATAACAGAAAACTTGAAGCATATATATTAGTTTGATAAATAAAGATGCTTTAAATTTCTAGTATAAAATTCATTGTTTCGTAGTGCCAATTATTTATTATGAAGAATCTTTTATCTATTACTTAAGCCATTTATATCTATTGTATTCAATCAATTATTTTATATTTTCAGACCTTCAAAAGCAAATCGATATGTTTTAAATTTATGAACTTTAATAATTTGAATTTGTCAACTATAAATTGGTTTAATTTATTAATTTATTAATAACTAACCTCAATTATAACACCAAAATTTAAAGATTTCTTGACAACAATTAGAATTTGATGAATTTTTTTATTTAATTCTATAAGTTCATAGAATTAAAATAAAAAATTGATAAAATTAAAAAAAATTTGGCCACAGCTTTTTTTCTAGACACCTAAACTTTACTCGACACTTATCTAGTCAAATTCAATCAAAATTTGTTTATTTTAATTCTATGAGCTTATAGAATTAAAATAAAAAAAAATTAATCGAATTCAACTTGTGAATGATAAGTAATCTTTGTTTAAAGTTTAAATGACTTTAAAAAAAAAAGCTGCGGCCAATTTTTTTTTAAACTTTAATAGATATTTCTCGACAATTTGCTATTTAAATTTGATCAATTTTTTTCATTTTAATTCTATGAATTTATAGTATTAAAATAAAAAAATCCATCAAATTCTGATAGTTGGTTGTTGAAAAATCTTAGTTTAAAGCTCAAAGAAGGAAAAGTTTGTCTGATTCTAATTTTTTCAAAGGTATTTTAATTTTTTAGTGATAATTTCTTGATAACCACTAATCCAAATTCAATGGAGTTATATTTATCCTTGTTCTACAAAAGTGTATAATTGAAATAAAAAAAATTTTGCTATATTTGATATAGCAGTTATTGAGAAATAATCGTATAAAGTTCTAAAAAACCTTCGAATTTATTTGTGCCACAGGATCTGCATGTAATATGCAAGTTTGAAAAGGTTCTAACTAAGCTATGCATAGGAATGTATCCAAACATCATCTGATTGGCAATGATCAACATAACTTGGCATAGAATTCATATATGCTTAATTAATATATATTCTATTGCATACTGCATACAGGCATTCTATTATTTTTAATTAATGTTTACTGTATTCATTTATAAATACTTTCTACATACATACATAATATACAAAAACTTCAAGAAAATATATTTGCACGAAAATTGTTATGCATTTAAAAAGCACCAATTATATAACAAACTCCACTTATCAAATTCAATGAAAATTTTTTTACTTTAGTTCTATGAGTTTATAGAATTAAAATAAAAAATTTGATCGAATTTTGGTAGCTGGTTATCAAGAAATATTCATAGTAAGTTAAAAAATTTTAGCTGCAACTTCTTTTTTATAAATTCCTAAACTTTGAATAAATATTACTTGGTACTTACCTGGTCAAATTTGATCAAAATTTTTTTATTTTAATTCTATAGACTTTTAGAGTTGAAATAAAAAAAAATTGATCAAATTTGACTAGGTAAGTGCTGAGTAATATTTGTTCAAGTTTAGGCGTCTATAAAAAAGAAGCTGTGGTTAAAATTTTCTTTAACTTTCAATGAATATTTCTCAACAACTAGCTATTAAAATTCGATTAAACCTTTTTTATTTTAATTATATAATTTCATAGAATTAAAATAAAAAAATTTTATCGAATTTAGATAGTTAGACATTGAGAAATCTTCATTTAAAGTTTAAATCAAAAATTTATTGTAATATTTCTTTTTAATTTTTTTTAAAAAAAATTTAAATAGAGATTTTTCAACGCCCATCTATTTGAATTTGATGAAAATTTTTTTATTTTAATTCTATGAAATTATATAATTAAAATAAAAAAGAGGTTTTAATCGAATTTGAATAGCTGGTTGTCAGGAAATATTTACTGAAAAGTTAAAGAAAAGTTTAGCCGTAGCTTTTTTTTATAGATATCTAAACTTTGAATGAATATTACTCAGCACTTACCTAGTCAAATTTGATCAATTTTTTATTTAAACTCTATAAGTCCATAGAATTAAAATAAAAAAATTTTGATTAAATTTGACTAGATAAGTACCGAATAATATTCATTCAAAGTTTAGATGTCTATAAAAAAGAAGCTGCAGCCAAATTTTTTTTAACTTTCAATGAATATTTCTCGACAACTAGCTATTAAAATTCAATTTTTTTTTATTTTAATTCTATAAAATCATAGAATTAAAATAAAAAAATTTTTATCAAATTTGGATGGACGTTTATCAAGAAATCTTTTTTAAAGTTTAAAAAAAGAAAAATTTACCCAATTTTAGCTTTTTTCTAAGATATTCTACTCTTTTTTAAATTTCTAACGAAGATTTCTTGACAGCCATCTATCCAAATTCAATGAACTTTTTTTTTTATTTTAATTCTACAGAGGTGTAGAAATAAAATAAAAAAAAAATTAACTAAATTTAATCTAGTTATTGAGAAATATTCTCTAGAAGTTTTATAAAAATTTTAAAATTAGTTTTGCTAATTTGATCTGAAGTCGATGATGATTGGTTGAGAATGCATGGATCTTCAAATATCGTGGATCTGTATCCAACATCTTGCTGGATAAATAGATTACACGCTATATTGGTACTTGTTATTTATTGATTCTGTTTGATATATGCAAATGTTAATTTTTATTTGTTTGTGTTTATTATTCTAAGTATGTTTGTATATTTGATGAAAAGAAAAACTTTTTTTTTTGTTGATTGATCCATTTATGTTCCAAATGGTTTTGAGTAGGTCAATTATAGTAGGCCTTTGTCAAAATAGAGGCCATTGTTGCAGAGTGAGTTCAAATGTATCAGTAGAATAATTCTGACTTCCATCAGTAATTTTTTGGATCAAGACCAGTTGTATGCTATGTGTTACCAATTTAGTAGTTCCACCTGCTCAGAAACTATAACTGGCAACATCTTAACTGCTTGAGTTTCGATATGAACCATTATTTTGTTGCTTATATAGAGTCTGGTTTTATAAACAGCATTGTACTGTTTCGTGCATATAAAGCCTGTGTCTTGAGAACACATACCAAGCATAATGAATCATTTGTTAGATTTATTATTAGTGAGGCTCAGACAGTTGTCTTAGTTCTCAGTAGCTGAATTCTAGCAAATATTGCACTATTGGCTTTTTCAAAACTTAGGGCTTTGAGTGTTGGAACCTTTGTAGCATTAGACTGATTGTTTGGTAGCAGTTTGCTGAGCCATGCTAGACTGTAGAATGCTGTTAGTGCTATGGGCCAAAAAGAATGTCGAGATGATTGTTCATAATCAAGTTTGATTTCATTATTGTGAGTTATTGGCAAATGATGTAAGATTTCTGTCTTATTGAGAAATAGATATTGGCTAATTCGAATATTTTTTAGCAATTGTATAATTAGAGGGTTAGATCGAGTTTTGGACCAATCAATATTGTTCTGTGTGTGGTGATACTTTAGGGCTGATAGGTAGGATGTGATTGTAGAAGGAGTAACATTTTAATGGAGAAATGTTATATACTTAGCTAATGACTCTTTAAATATTGGCTAATTAGAACTGTCGTTGTTGGTTCAATAGTTGTTTGTTGCTAGGTGTTTATAGTATTTAATAATAGATTCGTATGATTTTTTAATAGGCATTGAAATATTAAGTATAAATGCAACTTGTACATCAAGGGTTTGTTGATTGCTGGATGCAAAAGGATTAAAAGTGTGTATTTGGTGATAGGTGGTTGTGATTGTTTGGTTGAGATCTATTGTTTGAGAGATGGTATAATTGTGATTAATTTTTTTTTTTTTTTTTTTGGTATTAAGGTGACCTCTTTGGTCTGGGGAACTTTTTATTAGAGTGTAGATGAAGTTTTATATGTAATTACAACGATGGTACATCAAGCCACACATGCACCTTTTGAGTGCCTATTTAAGTAG